GCCGGGCGGGAGCACAGAGGCGGCGCCAGCTGGGAGCACAGAGGCAGCGACGGCCGGGAGCACAGAAGCGGCGCCGGGCGGTCTCGCCCCGTACCAGATTCACCACCATATTCTTTCCAGGTAAATGTTCTCTAATTTATGGTGCATTTATTGAAGTTGGAAAATTATGGTGCGAGTATAGATATTATGAAATAAAGTAAAAAATGTAGTAGTGGTGGTAAGCAGAGTTGTAGCCATAAGGATTGACTAGATAAAGTATCGATGCAACTATTCGTGAAAGAAAGAAAAATAAAAATGAAGGTGGAGGGGGTTGATGATTTTATCCAACTAAGAAAAATAAAATAAGATTTAAAGAAAGACAACAACAAAACAGCTAACCAAATTGACAAAATATCCAAACAAAGGAAAACTCGTAGAGGTGGTTCAACGAAGATAATGATTGTGCAATTAAATTCCTACTGTGTTTCAAAAGAACAAACCATTAATTGTATTTATGCATTTCCTTTAGATACGCATGCCGAACCAGCTTCAAGCGACCCCAGGGGTGAGTAGTATGACCGTTGCAGTTGGGGGTGCTACTGTTGTGGTTGGGGGTGGTGGTCTTTTGGCTGGGAATCTTATTAAGGTGATTTGCGCCAAGACTAAGAAGAAGGGCATGGCGCAACCAGTATTTGCTTACTGGGAACTGGTACTCACCTGGGGCCCGGCTTTTGCCTCGAAGAAGGGTCAAAGCTGTCGTTGACGCCCTGCCAAATACCGATAGAACCGAGGTTTACCGTGCATGGCTTATGGCCATTTGGCACGAACTCGGAATTCCTTCGTCCGAATAAAGGCCATCCAGCAAATGTAAAGTCAGCATGACTTCTATTGAAAGGTTGTGCTCTAGGTTAGAGAAGGAATGGCCGGATATCCACTTTGGAATGAAAGAAAGCTTTTGGGAGTATCAGTGGGACAAGCACGGTGTGATGTTGGATATCCGTCAGTTTGATTATTTTGAAAAAGCTCTGAATTATAAATCGTCTATAGATGTCATGACTAGAGGCGGTTTAGAATATTATTTGGGCTATGATACGACAGAGTCCATCATAAATTTATGTCTGAAGATTGGAAATCTTATTCAAGCAAGACCGAAAGTGATATGCAGCAATATTCACAAGGCACTAATTGAAATACGGTTTTGCTTCGATGCCTCGGACCAATTTATTGATTGTGATTATTGTGCTGACGCCAAATGTGGCGATCCTGTTAGTATACCAGCTCCACCAGCAGCTCCACCACCTTCATAGCCAGCTACCTCTCTCTCTCTCTCTCTTTTTTTTATATTAATTGATTTGCTTTTATGTTTTTTGATTTCTTATTCTATTTGCGTTTTGTTTTTTTATTGATATAGGCTAGCAAGAGATTTTGTAGAATTTGCCTATACTTTGGGTTTATCTTGTCTTAAAATATGCATAAAAACTGTCAGTCCCTGTGAATTCTCTTGCATTAACTGTGGAGGCACGTACCAAACGTATCATTAAGTTTGAAAATCGACTAGTACTCCATTGAGCATTTTTAAGGACTTGAAACGGGATGGATGTGAAATTTTGTGTGTAGTTATGTATTTGCTTGCGAATCAATATGCATTGTATTCCTTGATTTGGTTGAGAAAAATGCCATGAAAATTAAGCTTTAACAGCAGGATCGATGTGTTAGGATAAGCTTCAATTTAAATTTTACCAGATATTGTTGCCTTATTACTCATTGTGATCCAAAATTGATTTGGTCTGTTTTACGTACTGATTACAGAATCAGGAGGCCAAAGTACAAGCTAAACCAAGCAAAATACAGAATGTGTAACAAGTCGGTAGATCTCTCTCTCCCTTTCTCTTTGAAATCTTATGATTATATTTTGAGATTTTAATCCCTTTTTTAGGTGGATGGCATTTTGGGAAGGTTCTTTCTCCAGTTCCCGTTTTCTGAATTCGGAATACTAAATGGCGAAATCCTGCATTTTGATGAGGAAATTCTTATGTTATGTGTGCTATAACAGATTTAGCTGTTTCAATTTCGGTCTCAATGTAACTAATCTATATGTTTTTGTAACTGTGATGATGCTGTAATTTTGTGTAATCCCAGATGTTTGTATGAAGTTATTTATTTCTATTGGGTACTAATTTGCGCGGCCAATGAAATATGTTATTCAGAGAAATTATACTTCTTGTTCGTACTTGTGTAGGGATTTTTATTTCACACAACCTGTGTCGATCCAACAGTAAAAAGTAAAACTATCTACAGCAATGGGAATAAATTTTCTGGGCTCTAGCTTTGTCATACACATTGGAAAATTTTACTTATATTTCAATAAATTTTCTGGGCTCTAGCTTTGTCATACACATTGGAAAATTTTAGTTATATTTCAAGGATCATGACTAACAAGGATGTTACCAAATTGCATCTAGTTGGGGGTTGAGTCTATTTTAATTTATTTGATTAATTACTGTTTGATTTATTTATTTATTTTATTCGAATAGAGATTGCTGCAGTTTCTAAGGGCGTATTCTTTGTATAATCCTCAAGAGGCATCAGGGGGAAAGAGTTGAATTGCAAACTCTTTCGGCCTCAAAATTAGACAAATTAATTGAAAGTCCAGACATAATTAGCTGGCATGAACATATCCTTTGACCTAAATAGTAAAGTTTACTTTGAAATGTAAGCACGTACTGGATTGTAATATTTTTCATGGAAAAGCAAGATTGGCCGGAATAATAATGTTTGCTACAGAAATATGGACTTCCTCATATAAGATCCATCATTTTCCAAAAATTAAAAGAAATAAAAATAATCAAATCACTTTCCAACAAAATTCTATATCCAACATCCATACATACTCCACAGCCTACATACGAACAAATCCGATTCGTGTAAATTGCGAAGTGATTTACACCAACAAGAGGGTAAACAAGTAAACAACAGTAGAAAAAAACGTGTGCAAAAAAACAGCTGAGAGCAAAAGGGACATCTGTACATTGCTTGGATTCGTCTCTCAAAAACATGTCTAAACTGCAGGTATATTGGCAAAGGAGAAACCTTTGTAACCCTTGTAAGCATAGTAGGCAATCCTTGTGTAATAGAACCCGGGAAGGAATAGAATCCCACCAAGTATAGCAAAAAATATCCCCGTAATAAGTAATAACATTGGTTACATACTATTTTGTGCATTACAAAACCAATCTGTGACGAGGCAGAAACTCAGCTCCCAAAGGCAAAGATGAAGATAAGCTGGATAAAATGAGCATGGAGTACACAGGGGCAAAGCAGAATAAACAATATCTCTGTAGTCGGAAGAAATCTATCATAATCATAGGGTGGCAAACATTACAATGTGACATGGCAGCAAAATATAGACATTAACCCAGCTTCTTCCCTCAAAATCACCTGCTGATTTTGTCCATTAATCATGTAAACTGACCAAACAGCTAATCTTGATTCTGCACTTAGACATATCCATATGTATATAAGTACACGCAATCCCAAAATGTTTCGCACCCATTTTGAATTAAAGGAAGTAACCTTTTATCTCGTTTTAGTTTTTTTCTTCTTTTTTCAGTTAAACTCGCGAAATCCCTACATCTAGTTACAATAAACCACACTCCCCATATACTTCTGCAAAAAGTGAGTACCTCACAGATGAGCCAATCTTTCAGACAATCATATTTCATAAAGAAAGGCAATTGAGACTTAATTTAGGCAATCAGATGTTGCATCACTTAAAACTCAGACCGAGAAATAACGATCCGATCTTTCGTAGTTTGCTCACCTTAGAATTCAAACACCAGAAAATATAGACTTCAATCATGAAGCGGTGCCATTAAAGGAGCAATATTTAAAAATAAAATGATATATATACCATTTGAAACCGATATATATAACGATTAAAAAACGATATATGTACAATATAAACTGAAAAACCCATTTAATGAATGATCAAAGATAAAACAAAAAATATATATAAAAAAAAAAGGAATATGACAAGGTGCTTCCTATATAACAAAAAATAAAATAAAATAAAAGAAAACATGTAAAAGAAAGTCTGGGAAATTAACACAGCAAAGTATTAAATCCAACAGTTTTTAACTTTCTGCGGCGATGAGCACATGATGAAACCTCATAGAACACTAGAAGCTCGCAAGTATCATATAGCCAAAGCGTAGATTGAATATACGAAGTAAGAGAAGTACAGTTCGAGTGTAAAAGACATTTCATCTCAACTTACATATAATCACATTCCTACCAATCATTAAAATTTGCTTATATCTAGATAAATAATATACATTACATATTTATCATTATATAAAAAATATATTACTTCCACAAGTGTTATAAATAATATGATATTATATGATAATAGATTTTTTGATAGATTAATAATTGAGTATTATGATGAACCAAAATATGTAAAATTATTATTATTTTGTATTAAAAAATAAATATATATGTTAAAAATTATTTATAGTAATATAAACGGATCAGCATGCTAATATATTGTGAAAATAAAGTTTAAAAGAAAAAGTTCTAAAGTACGAAAACCCCGTGCATCACACGGGATTCTCACTAGTTAATAGATAAATACGTTTCCATAATAAATGAAAATTACTCTAAAACTAAATCAAAATATTTTTGAAATTTGAAATTAAATCTCTATTGGCGGGATTTTTTCAAAAAATTTCAAAAAATTACCAAGTTTAGTAGTTTTAAAAATTTTAGGCGGGATTTTAGTTTCTATTTCAGGTAAATATCAAACCTTTTTATATAGATATAGATATAGATATAGATATAGATAGATATCGAGAGAGATATAATTGTAAGAAAAGAATTAATTGCAAAACTTTCATGTTTACGCTTATAATTTTCAGAATTTTTAATTAAGTTTAATTTTTTTTTTTTAAATTGTGCATATATCTTCAATTTTGTATAAATATTATAGTCTTCAATAAAAGTTGAAAAAGTTATGTTTCAAAATTAATTTAATTGTGTATTTTTGTTATTTTGATAACTGTTAAGTAATATTATATTTTAATGTTATAGTCACAATGTTACTGCTACATATCTCCTCTTTTGTTTGTAAGCTCATTTCAAATATTTGGACTTCAAATTATACCTGAACAACTATTAGATTAAATAATGCATATTCTACATTTATCTTATAATATAACTATATTATTGTTAATAATTTATACAATATATAGTTCTCTTAATAAAGATTAATTTATGTTGCCCAATTTAAATTGATACTTTTATTTACTTTGGTGGTACTGTTATGATTATTATTAATATAACACTTTAATTATACATAAAAAAATTATATTATTCATTATATTCATACAACAATTGTCATTGACATATGGCATATTCCACATTTATATTATTTTTATTTTTAATTAAAATCTAAAAATTACGCTAAAATGTAATAACCATTAAAAATTATTTGGGACAAGTAGTTGTAGACTTGGATGACTAATAATATTTCCTGCTTGTGCCCAAAGTATATGATATATTGGTAGTTTTGATTATTTGTGGAACATAAATTTAATTTTTATCTGATAATACCAATACTATTTAAAAAATGGATGTGAATCTTGCCACTCTAGTATATGAAGGTGTCAATGCATAAATGTTTGAAAGATATTATGTCTGGAATTTAAATAAAAGTCAAATAACCTAAGATACATTGTCTATAAAAATCTAAAAAAAATGCTAAAATGTAATAACTATTAACAATTATTTGTAACAAGTAGTTTTATTGGTTTTTTATTTGGTCAGATTTTATTTATGAAATGGCTCAGATAGGTATTATAGCCGGATATGGGAAAATTCTTATATTCCAAGTTTAGGTACTTTAACCTAGAAAGAAAAAGAAGTAAAAATCCTATACAAACTATGAGTCTATGACTTTTAAATTTCTTATACCGACTATGACTAAGAGCATCTCCAATGCTATGGTGTTGAAAGGTAATAATATTTAACACATGTCAATTGATGATTGTAATGTTAATCCACATAAAAATAATGTTAAAAGACTAAAAATTTGAATCAAACTAGTATCTCCAATGCACCAATTTAATAAGAATTTATTTGTATAGGTGGACCAATTATAATAATTCATTAATACAAGAATAATAAAAAATTAAACCAAATATAAAGTGAATTAATGAGTCATCATGTTTAACATGGTGTTAGATATTAGAAAGTGAGTTCAACATTGTTAACATTAAATGTCATCCACATCATCATGAAAGAGCTAATGACAAGATGCATTGGAGAATAAATTTGGAGGCCTCTCCATACCTGAGTGAAGATCTGTTAATTGAAATCCTGGCGAGATTGCCCGTACAATCTTTGCTCCGTCTTCGGAGCGTATGCAAATCATGGAAGTCGATGATAGGCAGCCCCGAATTCAGGTCCTTGCACTTATCCACAAACCGCCACTCCTCCAAAATCTTGCTCACCGCACACGAGCGTGGACAGATTCGCTTCGGTACACCCAAAGAGCGGCACTTTCTGCTCAACAACGATGAAAATCTCCCTTCCGACCCTTCCTGCTTGACCCCTTTCGATGTCCCCTTCCAATACCCAGACTGGACCTCTCACCAAATAGTCGGCTCCATCAACGGCTTGATATGCATATCCCAGTCCCAAACCTTTTTCCCAGACCCGGACGACGACCCAGCCAACGTACCCATTGTGCTATGGAACCCTACCATCCAGAGGTGCGTCTTCCTACCGGACCCCACCTTCAGTCTAGAACATAACGTGTCCATCGAGATTGGGTACGCCGCCACCACGGATGATTACAAAATCGTGGTAGTTAGGAAAGTAGGCGAAACTACTGCCCTAGAGTTCCACATCTATTCCTTGAACTCAAACGCGTGGCGCGGAGGTTTCGAGATGTGCCCCCCCGCGGCCCGTGTGAGTAATGAAGACCGTCGAATATTTCATAGCACGGGAGCTTTCTTGGGAGGCAAGATGCACTGGCTCGTTAGAAATGAACATGAGATTGAGGGCGGTTATTATGAGATGAAGGAGTGTATGGACACCCTTTACACGTTCGATGTGGCGGATGAGGTTTTTGCTGAGGTGGGCTTACCTGAGGAGGTGATGGCGCATTACACAGTACGTTACGCAGTACCACATGTTGCTGTAGTGGGGGACTTATTGCATGTGGTGCATATCGTTCGAAAGCATTTGACAATTTGGGTGAAGATGGAGGATGCTGGATCTTGTGATGTGTACTGGAAGAAATTGTACAGAGTTGATCATGTGAGCGCGATGTTTGTGTGTTTTTTGAAGAATGGGGAGTTGCTGATGGACAAGTACCCCACTTGCCCCACTACTGGACCGGTCGGTCAAGGCCATGGTCCCTTAGCGGCATATGATCCGAGGGATGGGAAGTTTAAGGACTTGGAGCCCTTGTCCCTCTCTCAACAACGAGACTTTGGGATTGTCGATTCTAGGAATCACCAACAGAGTCTCGTCCTCCTCGACCGAACCTGATTGGCGACCCACAAACTACTTAGGAGTAAAGGATGACAACCCCAACAACAGGGGCTTAGATATATAAACAATACTAATGTGCAGGATAGTAATTGAGAATTTGTTTGAAATAAATTTTAGAATTTTATGTCCCCTCATCACCGTTATAAAAAAAAAATATAAAATTGTTCCTGCAGTTTTTTTTATTTTTTTTAGTTGGAAGCAAAATTAAAATATAAAACAAGAATTTGTATATGTAATTATTCTGCTGGGTGAATTATCCAAGAATTTATTGTTCAAAAAATCACAGATCTACAAGTCCAGTATCTGAATACAACAAGTCATATCGAAAAGGAAAACAAAAAATGAAAAAACAACAATAAAAGACTGGCAATAACTGCCAGTAACTCAAATATAACGTCTCCTGGTCCCGGGAATAGTCCAGGCAAATAAGTCAGTGTCATGACTATGAATGCCTACAGTTACTCTCTAATCATTCCCGGTCGAATTTGATATTTTGTTTATAATGTTGTGTGTGATGAGGAGCTTCATCCCTTAGTACTATCATGACTATGACTAAGAATCCTATACCAACTATACTTGTCTATATAATATAAAGGCCAGGTGAATCACACATATATCTTGTGACTGATGTGGGCTTGGATATATAGCATATTTGCCGTAACATCGGCAGAGATGAAAATCATGAAATAGATCTGTTTATCTATTTACAAACTTGATTTTNAGATTAAAATCATGAAATCGATCTGTTTATCTATTTACAAATTTGAAAAAAAAACTAAAAGAGTGGTCTGCCTTAAACTTAACAAGGAATGCAGGATAAAAGTCTGTGTAGAGAGATACAGGATTGGAGAGGGTTGATTTGACCAAATTGGGTCTTTGCATTTGGAAATCCATATTTAATATTCAATTGTCTAGTGATATTTTCCCATATTCTCAATCTAGATAGATGTTTCATTTATTAATTTACAGAGTTTGACAAATAAGTTATGCTTCTTCTGCTTCGGTTATTTGCACGTATGATCAAAATCTTCTAACACGGAAGTGTAGTATGTTTATTTTCGATATTGTAATCTGCTTCGTTTCACACTGTTGTCAGTTGTTCTAATGACTTTTAAGGTTTATAAATCGGCACTGATGTTTTTTTTCTCCAATCTTGATTTTTTAGGTAAAGCCTTGGAGGAGCTACGTGCTTCAATGTTTAACAAACTACGTTCGGTCACTGGTCCCAAGCGCCAAATGCAATCTCTGTGGGGGCCCACTGTTGCTCTTACATTTAACTTTTTAGTCTCGGTTACCATTATCTTGATGAACAAACTGGTAAAACATGTGCCTCTCTTCTCTATTCTCATAGCAGAATCACAAAATACTATTGGTTTATAATGGCACTTTTAAAAGCTCTGTCCATTCTCTCCCTATCTTCTCCACCCAAATCGACAAAATATTCTTTGTTGTTCTCTCTGGGTATAGTCATGTCTCTCTCCACTGGCCTTGCGAATGTCAGCTTAAAATATAATAGGTAAGACATTATTTTAATACTAGTACCAATCCCGTGCTATGCACGGGTAGGAGATATTTATTAGGGAGATTAGATACCATATAGTAACACCTTTCTAGTTCTTATATAAATAGTAACACTTTTCTAGTTCTTATATAAATAATTAAATATTTGTTTATTTTGGTTCTATTTTCTTTAACTAATACGAATCATGTGCTATGCAGGGGTAGGAGATACTTATTAATATTTATAAATTAAAAATACACATTAAATAATATTTATAACTTAAAAATATGGAATCAATTGTAATACAATTCACCTATATTAAATTTATTGAAAATGTTATATGAAATTTAAATTGTGCAAAATTATAAAAAACATGTCTATTTAAAATTAGTACACAACCCGTACGGTGAACGTAACTGATAATAAATTACAATATAATTTCAAAATAAGTGTCATTTTAAAATTTTCATTCAGAAATTCAATTTAACTACAATGTAATTCCATAAAATAATAATTTTGATAAAATGTTATGAATATTTAAAAATCTATGTGAATAATAAGTACAGTTATAAAACTATATTATTTTATTAATTAAATTGAATTTATTTTTGTATAAACTATCTAAATAAAAAAATTAAATAGTTGAGTAATTTATTAAACTATAAATAAAATTGATTATTCTATTTACGTCCAAGTTAATATTAACCCGTAAGTTATTAAGAATAACTTATTTGACTTTTAAATTTGGAAACCAAATTTAGACTACACAATAAATTCTTTATACATATCATCTCTCAATTTTTTAGATTTTTTTTCGGTTACCTTATTGTTCAAATTTATCAACTAATTCTCTAAAATTAAATTACAAATTTAAATTTTATTAACTAATATTTGTTCAAAAATCTTTCTGATATTCAAAAGGAATACAGATCAATTTGAAAAATTATCATCAAAATCGTGTTGGTTGATCAAATTTTTAAGGGAAATGATGTACATATTGTATTATTTAAACCGTAAAATTGTGAATTATTTGTAGAATAAATCAATTTGTAATATATGAAATCCTCAATTTTTGGAATAAATCAATTCGTAGCTTTTGAGCCTACATTATATGGAATCCTCAATTTTTGAATTGTTATATTCTAAATAGTTTTATATTAAATAGCCACTATTGTGTGATTTTATGCATCATAACTGACTCATGAACCGACCTATCAAACGTGTTCGGGTGAATCAATGAAGATATTATTTAACAAAATTAGTTAGTACTAATCACATTAATCGTAGTAGTTGGAATCCTCAAATTTAAAAAATATTTGAAGTGATATGTTTTTATCATGTTTAGAAAACTGGTACATTCTTTAATTAAAAAAAATTCAATTTTAAACAGAAGACCAACATAATCGGTTAAAAAAAAGGAAGTCAAATATATTGCTAAATAAAAATATGTTTTCCAAATAAAAAAGGAACTTGAATTTATCCGATAGAGAAGGAATCTCATCCAAAATATATTGAACTCATCCAAAACATACTGAATTTCGGAATGAAAAAAATTCAAACTTTCGAAAAAATTTCAAACAAAATATTAGAGGAAAAAAAGTGATTTGAGCGGTAAAATGAAATAATTTTTCAAACATTTTTTCTTCTCTCTATTATATACTAATAGATTCTCCCTTTTTATTAAATTATTTGGTTGTTTATATGCTTTATTATATATAGCACTCTAATAGTGCTTTTCCAAGTGTTGGATTTTATCAGATGGCCAAGATTGCTGTGACCCCCGCCATTGTTTTATCCGAGTTCGTTCTCTTCAGGAAAAAGATATCTACACAAAAGGTAATTAATTAACTATGTTCTTGCAAACTTTATGAGTACATACATTCATATACTAAAATCATCACTGAAATTGGTTTCTACACGAGAGCTGATATTCTCGTGTTCAATACATGGAAAGACTTCTAGGGGGTATTTCGGTCTTTTTTTTTCCTTTTAACCAAGTTAAAGTTAAATCTCCAACTAAGCCAAGCATTTTTCAAGAAAACTATTTTTCTTGTTCCTAATTTAATTAAATTTGGAATGTATTGGCGCAGTAAAAACTACTACAAAAAAGGTGACTACTTGTATCCACACTTTGATGCTGTGGAAGCATATAAGAAGGCCTTCAAGACCTGGGCTACTTGGGTTAAAAAAAGTTTACCCAAACAATTGGTGTTTTATCATGGCTACTCGTCCGCTCATTTCAGGTATTATTTTTCACTAATTACCTCATTCAGGATAATTGCATTACTCCCTTCACATGTAAATTGTGTAAAGACCATTTTTTTTTTTTTTTTTTTTTNTGGTCAAAATAATCTTCTCAAATGAGTCCAAAACGGAACAAATCTCTCGCACCGAAATTTCTATATATTTGCAGAGGTGGGGACTGGGATTCGGGCGGGTCGTGCAATGGGGAAACCGAGCCCGTTAAAAGCGGGCCCATTATCTATAGCTATCCTACAAAGATGAAAATTGTGGAGGAAGTCCTTAGAGAAACTCGGGCTCCCGTCATGCTTTTCAACGTCACGCGTTTGACCAATTTTCGAAAAGACGGTCACCCTTCGGTTTTCGGTAGGAACGTGACAGGTGGCAAGAAAGTGTCGACCCGAAGACAAGATTGTAGCCATTGGTGCCTGCCCGGAGTGCCTGATACCTGGAACGGGAAACGTGGGTATGGCTTTTACTACTGAACTTTTGCCCATTATTATCACTTTCTAGGATTTGGGTTTTCATTTTATTTTGTTTATGCGTTCTTTGCTTTGAGCTCGAATACATTTCCTCCAAAATCTTTTACTTCGGCGAAGATCGACAGACCATGTGCGTGAGCAGCAGCAACCGGCGGGTTTTGGCATATGGCGGCGGCACTGCAACTGGCGTCCGGTAAAGTCTGCTGGCCCGCAGCGTCAATTTTGCGATTAATATTTGGTTTTATCTGTGATTTTTTATTGAAAATATGATCTACTTAGGTATTTTTGATGAAATGTTCGATGATGTACACCTGCCGTCGGATGAACCACCCAAGGATCGTTGTGCTTGAGGCCGCCACCTGAATGGATGGATATATTTTTTCTTTTTGTGTGTCAGTGTGTGTGTGTGTGATACATGATGCTTGTGCTGAGGGAATCTGTGTCGATTTTATTGTCAGGGACTGCATAACTCGTCACTTATGGAGAGATTGTCTCTAATAGAAATCTAAAGTTTGATTTGTACCAACAAGTGAGCGATGGTATTGACAACATATTGTGGTCCAAGTCGTTTGTTGAAAAATATGATTTGCAACATGACGTCCGAGGAGAAGATTGGGCAGATGACTAAGACAAAGTTGACCTCTCTTGACGCCGTGAAGATTGAAGAAGTACTTCATCAGTGAGAAATAAAAAATGCAATCTTTTGTTGTCAGTATACTTTGTTCATTTAGTTTTTTCCAATATCATTTATTTTTTTCTCTTGATATTTGCTAGCTGGGTGAATGTATATTATAGTATAAAAAATACAAGAGAAGATCTTGATTTTTGGTTGAAACAGTGTATCTACTAATTTGTTAGGCACCATATTTTTTGCGGGTGTAAAAGCTTTTCTCGGGTTCTTACAACATCTCTTTTCTTTTTTTTTTTTTCNAGAAATGGGTTTGTGGGAGGTTTGAGTGTCTTTGTTCAATGGACTAACCATCTTTACATTAGCTACAAGTAATTATTATTTACTAAAAAAAATAATTGCACATAAATTAGGGTTGAACTCTGTCAATTGTCATGCTATCCAAATTATTGGCCCCAACAATATGTAATAAAAATGATTAGGGTCACGCTCTACATGACTACTATGGCTATCATTTTCACATCTTGATGCCACTTTAATTCTGTTACTCCCAATAATGAAACAACCTTTTATTACAATTTATGTTATTAGAGAAAGCAAAAGGAAAAGTATACTTATTTAATATTAAAAAAAATGGACCACTGAAAAGGCATACTTTATTATACTGGTTATTTTTTCATATTAATTCTCAATATATATTGATACAAAGTCTTTAGATTATTTGAATTCGCATTAACAAAATAGTTACATCTACTTTATAAATAGAAAAATAAATTCATCCAGTTGATTCTAATTAATAATTATAAAATTATTATTGATGTATTATATGTGTTAAACTATTTTTAATTAAAAAACTTATATGGTCCGCCTAATAGACTAGTATTATATATATTAAAATTTCAATTCGTATATTCTTCAATTCAATAGCTGTTGAGAGGTAGATGGTGGGTGCATTTTTCAAATTCAGATGTCAAAAAAACGTTTTAAATATATAGCTCATAGTCAAATATTTGAAATATTGTAATTATCCTTTTTATTATTATTTCTAATTTACTGTTGAAAAAACATTTATTAATTAATAAACATTTTTTTATATTCAGACAATATTCCAGAAAAATTCTCCCCAAACGGGCCTTTTTTTTTTATAACACGTCCGTCCTCTCAATCTCGCCGCGATATCCTCTCTCTCTCTCTCTCTCTCTCTCTCTCTATATTTGAGGATTATACCAAGATTTTTGTCTTATGTTTTGTCTTCAGATTGAGTAGGTCATTGGAGATATACACTCCATTAATGTGCTCTTTCTTTGTTCTCACACTGAAAAATCGCAACAGCCAAACACAGACACGAACACACACTCTTTGAGGTAATAATGTGCTGAATCTGCAACAAAGTTGTAAGCTTTGCACCAGAAGAAGTGAAATAAGAGAGAGATGTTTCGTTTTTTCATCCGAAAAGATGTCAGGAAGATTCTCAAGCGCAAGGACAGTGATGCCGGTGAAAGAGGTAATAAATGCCCTTTTCCTATTTGCGCTCTTTTTCATTTTACTTTTCGAGCATTACAAAATGTCGGTACAGTTCTTGATTTTGTGGGTTGTTCTGTATCTGTGAAGTAAAAGGGGTAGAACAAGAAATGGGTCTGTCTGAATATTGGCCGGTAATTTTTCAATGGAAAACGGAATCTCTATTTATTTATCTACATGTTCATGTCTGAAATTTCTTCAACTTTCTTGATTTTGATTTGACGCTGGTTTGGCTGGAGCGTCGATGTTCAAAGCCTTTTATTTGGAATTCGATTGCTCAAAGTTGTACCATTTTTCATAAATTTTATGAGGGGCTTAATCAGAAAGATTGAATTTTTAATTTCTTTAGAGATGAATCATTTAACCAGATTGAGAGAATATTGGGATGGTGGAAATTCAGAACCAGAGATGCTAGTTTATGTTCGAAATGTGTGTGGTTTTAATTACTCTAAAAGCTCCCGGTGCAATTAGTCAAGAGCCAGAAGATCTGTTAGAAAATGCTATTTCAACCTTTAAGAAAAATGGGTTCTCTACTAGGTGAAACATGATCTTTCCACAGGAGCTTTAGCATTAATGCTAAATATACTCAGTTGCCGCAGCTAACTAAGAATGCTATTCTAATGTGAATAACAACAACAATCTGGTTAAAAAAAGAAAGTCTTTTCACTCCTCTAAGCAACATGACTAGATTAAACTGCATCTTGTGTTGAACATAATCTGCTTACCCTGAAACTCAAAAGAAAATAAAATATCTTGTGACTGATGTGGGCTTGGATATATAGCATCTTTGTCATAACATCAGCAGAGATTAAAATCATGAAATCGATCTGTTTATCTATTTACAAATTTGAAAAAAAAACTAAAAAAGTGGTGTGCCTTAAACTTAACAAGGAATGCAGGATAAAAGTCTGGGTAGAGACTAGAGAGATGCAGGATTGGAGAGTGCTGATTTGACCAAATTGGGTCTTTGCATTTGCAAATCCTTATTTAATATTCAATTGGCTAGTGATATTTTCCCATATTCTCAATCTAGATAGTTGTTTCATTTATTAATTTACAGAGTTTGACAAATAAGTTATGCTTCTCCTGCTTCGGTTATTTGCACGTATGATCAAAATCTTCTAACACGGAAGTGTAGTATGTTTATTTTCGATATTGTAATCTGCTTCTTTTCAAACTGTTGTCGGTTGTTCTAATGACTTTTAAGGTTTATAAATCGGCACTGATGTTTTTTTTCCAATCTTGATTTTTTAGGTAGAGCCTTGGAGGAGCTACGTGCTTCAATGTTTAACAAACTACGTTTGGTCACTGGTCCCAAACGCCAAATGCAATCTCTGTGGGGGCCCACTGTTGCTCTTACATTTAACTTTTTAGTCTCGGTTACTATTATCTTGATGAACAAACTGGTAAAACATGTGCCTCTCTTCTCTATTCTCATAGCAGAATCACAAAATACTATTTGGTTCTCACCTTTTTTTTTTTTTTAATGTTTTTGTTGTCTTCAGGTACTTGTGAATGTAGGATTTAATTATCCGATTTTCCTAACTTTTATTCACTACGTATGTAGTTGGTTTATAATGGCACTTTTAAAAGCTCTGTCCATTCTCTCTCTATCTTCTCCACCCAAATCGACAAAATATTCTTCGTTGTTCTCTCTTGGTATAGTCATGTCTCTCTCCACTGGCCTTGCGAATGTCAGCTTAAAATATAATAGGTAAGACATTATTCTAATATTCTCCCTGTTATTAAATTATTTGCTTGTTTACATGCTTTATTATATATGGCACTCTAATAGTGCTTACTTGTTTTTTTTCCAAGTGTTGGATTTTATCAGATGGCCAAGATTGCTGTGACCCCCGCCATTGTTTTATCCGAGTTCGTTCTCTTCAGGAAAAAGATATCTACACAAAAGGTAATTAATTAACTATGTTCTTGCAAACTTTATGAGTACATACATTCATATACTAAAATCATCACTGAAATTGGTTTCTACACGTTCGATAGTTGACCTTTTTTTTTTTTTTTT